AAAGTGACAAAGTTGCCCGCTACGAGGGCAGAGAATTTCGGGCACAGTTAGTAAATATCATTAAGTTTCAGCAACCGGGTGAGCCAAATCTTCCGAAAACTGAACGTATAGCATTAAATTCCCTAAAGGAAGATAGCAGTATTGTACTTACAATGGCTGACAAGGGAAAAACCCTAGTTGTAATGAATAGGTCAGAATACTTGGAAAAATTGGGACAACCTTTGGAGACGGGTCCATATAGAGTAGTTGTAGATAAGACCGTGGCGTCAGTAATGAATAAGAGTAAAACGGAAGTTGGTAACTATTCAAGAACCGTGAAGGACGATTTAGGGGTAGGCAAGTGGTACAGTCTATACCCAAAATCGACTATACCTCCGAGGATTTATGGCTTGCCAAAAGTTCACAAACCCGAAGTTCCCGTACGGCCCATAGTCGACGGTATAGGCTCTCCGACCCATGAACTTGCGAGACATTTGGCAAGACTATTGCAGCCTCTAACAGGGCGAACGAGTACATTCGTGAATAACTCTTATGATTTCGCTCAAAATATAGCAAATCTCCAAATTGAGTCAGATGAGTTAATGGTCAGCTTTGATGTCACATCACTTTTCACAAATGTACCTAAAGAGAAGGCGCTAGGAATAGCGAGACGTCGTCTGAATGAAGATGTCACTCTGAATGATCGGACGAAACTAACAGTTAGCCAGATAATCAAGGGTATGACAGTGTGTCTTAACATGTCTTGCTTCGTTTTTCAGTCGAAGCTTTACAGTCAGGAACAAGATCTCGCCATGGGATCGCCAATATCCCCGGTACTGGCGAACCTGTATATGGAAGACTTCGAGAACAGGACGTTAACAAACAGCATTAACTCACCCAATGTTTGGTGGCGTTATGTAGACGACACCTTTGTACTTGTTAAACGGGATAAGAAGCACGAGTTACTTGATCACTGAAACTCCATTGATGAGAGAATACAGTTTACTATTGAGTTAGAATCTTGTAGCGGCACAATACCGTTTCTTGACTGCATGGTTCACAGGAATGGGGGAAATTTAAAGACGACAATATATCGCAAGCCAACGGATACTGATGGCGTACTTCACTACACCTCGGGTCATCCGAAACAGGTTTACGCTGGGATAGCCTAAACGCTTTTCTATAGGGTACAAACCTTGTGCACAATGGAGGAGGACAAAAAGGCTGCGCGGAAAGTGGCAATGGGCAAACTATTAGAAAGTGGTTGCCCAAGACGGCTAGTTAAACGCCAATTACATAAAGTGCTATACCGGCAGTCAAGACCCCCAGCCGAGTGGATAGGGACGGTCGGACTTCCGTTCAAGGAAAGCACTTCGGAGGTAATTCGGAGAGTATTAAACAAGAAAAATATAAGGGTGATCTTTCAGCGAGGTCGAACGTTACGTTCAGCGCTGGTACACCTGAAGGACCCGCTTCCCAATTATAGGACGACCAACTGTGTTTATAAAATTAAATGTAAGGACTATGCACATGTGTACATAGGCCAAACAGCGAGAGAATTGCGCACACGAATTTCTGAGCATAGGAGACGCATTGCAAGACTACCAAGAAACGAGTTTGAATATCAGGCAATAATAAGAGACTCGGCCGTAGCTGTACATGCATTAGACACGGGTCACCAGATAGACCTCGAAAACGTAGAGGTCATTAGGAAGGGTATCCGATCAACCACTCAGCGGTTGATTGCCGAGGCAGTGGAAATTGCCAAGTCTGACGACTGCGTGAATAGAATGGAGGAGGTAGAAATCCCTAATGCGTGGCGGGCGGTCTTAAGCCGACCAACTTGACGAGCATCGATGCGTGGATCAGATTGAAAAGTGCAAACCGACTCCCATTGCCAACACTACGGGCTTATCAGTCAATGTCATGACGCACAAAGGAACACCTGGACTATTCCCACTGTGATTGAACCACCTGAGGTGACATCCCGAACTGTTCCTGTAATGACTCATGGCTCAAGACTCGGGTAAAGCGGTTATCGCCCATGTTCGCTATAAAATCCCACACCAATTGCACACGGATTCACCTGGTCTGAAGAAGCCTTTATGTAAGAGGCAAAACGTTACCAAACTACTATACAAAACCGATTGTTTACAAACCTCTCTGAACTCATGACTACTCGGTCGGTTCCAAGTATCTTCCAAGAATTTGAGACTACACAGTTTGTGTGCGGTCCACCAACCTTACCTCTATAGTACAAACTTTGCCACCCTAGACGTCGCTACGCTTCCTGGCATGCTCCATAATCCCCTCAACTTTGGTCACAGACTGACCACATCACCGGAAGTCATAGCTGGCGTGGCAGTATTCGGAACTGCAGATACTGTTGGTCAACATGCGTGGAAACTGATCATACGCTAGTGCGTGCATGAGTTTGCATTCGTTTCGGTGGCTCGCCTAGGACCAGGTGAACTCGACTTAACTGGTAAACTGGAAGAGTCCACCATGCAACAAGAATATCAAAAGCAGATTCTTGAGAACCTCACTTCTCCGCTTCCTCGGGACGTTGAGCAGCATTAATCGCGATTGCAATAAATTATGTTTTCAGCAGGTTTATCCACTTGCGGCCTTGTTCGTTAAACAAATAAAAGTTGGATCTCGACCACCTCCGCGCAACTTCTAAACTATCGGTGAGGTATACCCGTCAGTATGGAGCACGCTGAGCTCCGCCGTTCCATTTCCAGACAAATGAAAGCGAGTCTTCGTCGTGAACGTGAATCCTGGTGGTCTAAACAGGCAAGTAAATGGAAGTTTCTGCCTCTGCTGTTAATAGCCACAGGTTGTTTTATCTCATCCGATGCACCGGACGCAAAGTTCAGGCCATTGGCCAGACCATCTGTGAGTTAGACGGTACAAAAAGCACCAACCTACGCAGACGTCTGGGTCGCTGGGAAGAGCATTTGCTCTCCAGTTTCTTTGCTCAAACACAACCTCGAGTATACATCCACTGCCATCATGTGATCCTTGGTCCGCCTGCATAGATCCTCCTACTGAAGCCGAAATACGGAGAAAAATCCAGACTCTGGAACGCGACAAACCTCCTGGCCTTGAAAGTCATCCTCCGGCCTTAGTTAAAGATGGAGGAACAAAGTTGTCACCGAAGTTTTATCAATGTTCGCAGAGGTATGGCGCGTTGAAAAGCTTCCTAACTCATGGGGATAATCTGTTGGGGTTCCGATCCTCAAGTTGGACCCTTAGAGTGAATTCACTAACTACCGAGGAATCTCATTTATCTCTGTTGGGTCCAAACATTTTGTGTCCATCCTGTTGCGTAGACTCTCAGTTAGCCATGTGAGTTTGTGTTATGAGGAACAGGCTAGCTTTCGTTCTTAACGTGGTTGCATTGGGCGAATTTGAGAGTTGCGTCAAAGTCTCGAACATCGGCATGTCCACCGAAGACAAATGATGGTTACATTTTTGGTTGTTCGAGCCGCTTTTGATTCATTAGGTAGGTCTTCATTGTGGAGCTGTCTGCTACAGAACGGCGTTCCTGACAAGTTTGTCATACACTTGAAAAAGCTGTATAGTCACATCACTGGAAGAGTTAGAGTTTATGGCAGGAATTCTTCGTCGTTTCCTGTTACCAGTGAAGTGGGCCAGAGTTGTCCCATCTCGCTGTTCCTGTTCAACTTTGCCGTCGTAAATGTCCTACATCGCGCACTGGAAGGCGCCCCGAGCTGCGCCGTTGAGCTTCTACCCGGGAGTAGATTGATGGACCTGGATTACGCTCATGACATTTCTTTGATGGGGAACGACTCGCAGGTTGTTCAAAACATTCCGATCCGCTTAGTGTTAGAGGCGTCTAAGTCTGGTCTGTATTTTGCTTCATGCAATTTTAAAAAGCTTTGCTCCAAGATTAGCATGCTCCTGTGCCTACGCGCGTCATTTCGGATGTCAGCTTGGAGCTCGTTAACAACATTACTTACCTCAGCAGTTGCATTACGGCTGTTGACGGTATTGGTGATGAAATTTCACAACAAATTACCAAAGCTCGCCTTGCATTTACTAACCTGCGATTTTTGTGGCCTTGTCTTGATGTCACTCTCAAGCTCAGAGATTGAGTGTGCAATGTCACCATTCTTGCTGTCCTACTGTACGGCTGCGAGACCTGGTCTGTTCGATCGAAAGATTTGAGACGACTGTCTACTTTCGATAACCGCTGCGAGCGTTCGATTGCTCGCGTATGATGGCAGCACCACGTGAGCAACGCGAAAGTTAGGAGCAGAATCATGGAAGCGGACAGTCTTGGTCTCCAGAGCATAATCATCCAGCACCGCTTGCGTTGTCTCGGTCACGTACTGCGCATGCCGGCTCACCACCTTCCACGTCGCGCATTATTTACACTTCCTGGACTCGAATAGAAAACAGCCGTGACGGACAATCGATGAGCTGAAAAAAGAGTATGAAGATTCTAACTTCGTGTCTGTCGTCAGTTGGATCCGTGTGTCTCCCATTCTGGCGACCACGTGAAACAGATTCCAAATGGTTTGAAGTCTGGGAGGATATGTCCAGCAATAGAAGTCAGTGGCATCAATGCTGTTCTACTAGCCCTTCATCCTGTACTTTTTAATGTAAAAACCATGAAAACAAAAAATGCAAAATGGCGTCTGCGAAACTAAAAAAAACATTTTCTAAACTTTTATTCCCTCTCTCTCCTTGTTGAACATTATATTCTCCTTTCCCTACCACCATGCTTCGGATGGCACATTTGTCTGTTTACAGACGTGATATACATACATATATATACCATTGATCCATTTAAACAAGCTTTTATGTTAAAAGATGCGCATGTCATCGTATGTTTCACGTAATGAGTATACATCAAAGCATACTATCGAAAACAGTTTCCAGATTTACAAATTTTAACTGGATTGACAATGACTCATTGGAAGAGCATGTTACTTACTCACTGAAATACTCCTACGTATATTTGATCACCCTTTCACACTTGATTATCTCAGAGTGCTCCGAAATGAACTGGAAGACTATCACGAACGTGTGTCATGGCTTCAGAAAACACTGTCTCTACGTGAAGCTGCACTGGCTGAGTTGGATCAACGTATCCGTATGCAGGATGACGCAGATGACAAACCCTACTCGCTGTCAATGTGAGTTCAACAGGGGAAGTGTGTCGAAAAGTGGCAGAGTTTTTGCAGATTTTTTGATTGACTGCCTACGTATTTCATTTGTGCTGAATCCGCACTTCAGCGTTAACATTTTGGCATTCACATATGCAGTGTATCGATGAGGTTATCGGATTACCCCTACTAAACTTGGCTTGCGCCATGTACTTTCAGACCTCCAGGGGCTTCGAATACTACCTTGAGGAATATGCTTCATGAAATGGAACAAAAACAGAGGATTTTACACAGCCGGATGCGCTTTCTCGTTGGAGAAATCCGTGATCTCAGCGCCGTACGTCAGATGCTCACGGATCATGGAGCTAAACAAGTCAGGTAGGATAATATTTTCTTAATATTTCTGTGTGTGCTCTTTCATTTTATTTTACTCCGCTCTCTGTCAGCGTTATTTATCACGGGGGTAAGGCGGTAAGCAAAAAGGTATCAAACCATGAGCCCATATCTTTATAATTGCTTGATAAACAAAGGGTACTTGCTTAAATATCCTAGCAGGCGTATTCAGATGAAAAACAACGGAGAATGAACCGCACTGTATCATGATTGGGTTTTGCTTTCCACCAGCTACTGCTACTTAACTGCTATCAATCCTGCACTAAAGATGCCACCTCAAATGGTGGCGAAACGTTTGCAATCAAGTTACCCAGCTCGGAGAACTCCACAACAACTGATGATTACCTATTTAATCTGTCGTTGTTATTGTTCCCTCAAGGCCCAGTTGACTTACTCACGAAGTAGTGGAAACATACTGGCGAGTTCAAGCCTCAACCAGCTTGACTAGGACGCACATCGCCTTAAAGCCTCTAACTAGCTGAACCGTTGGCTGTTGCTTTTTCGGGTGCTTGCTGATAGTTTGGCTGAGTCTGGTGGCGACGATTTCAATAGTAAATCCTTGTGTTTTCGTATCATTCTTTTGCTCTTGGCTTTGTCCAACATGCTCAGAATGACGATTCGAGCTTGGAAAGCTTTTACTCTGCGGCCACATTCACCTGCGTATACCACTATATGAACAGCAAGTAGTACTGTGGCATAGCTAGTCATTTATTTCCATGGCTGGTTTCGGCCGAGGGCTGGTAATAGTAGGTGCTCGGGTTATAGCATCGCAAGGGACAGACGAATTATACACTGCTGGTGACACCTTAAGTAGGGAGACAACTTGTCAATACATCGCTGCAAATTCGTTGGGTGTATGCTTGAGTCCAGTACTGATGAGTTCCATACACTTCTACCAGCAAAATATCTGTAGTATTCGCATATAATTAGAAGCAGCCGTTTTATTGACTGAAAAACTCTACCTTGTGACGGTGCTAACCACAGTACACAGATACTTGAACCTAGTGGCTTTGCTACTTCTGTCATTAATTAGGCAGAACATCATGAAAATTAGACTACAGCAGACTGAGCTATAATTGTCTCGTAAGCATGCACCCTTTGTTACTGATTCCGGGCGAATTAGTTTTATATCAGACGCTAAACTCTGGTTTCCAAATTCCGTACTATTGTATGCAAGCTAAAGGTATCTCTGTGAAAAAAGATGATAGGGAAATAATCCCTATTAATTCACTGTGTAGAGGTATAGAGACTGATAATCTCTGCCATAGGTTATGAAGAGTATCTACACGTTTGTCTTAAGAGTTGCCATCCCGCATTGTGCACCGTAAGTGGCTTATCGCCAAGCCAGTTCCCTCCCTACTGGTTACTGATTCTGGGACTTTGTTCCAAAAAAAATGTTCCGGTTAAATAGAACTAGATTACAGAATCTCGGTTGGTGTAGCATTAATACGCCAGATAAATTACTTTTCGGGTGATGACACTCGAACAGGTAACTGTGACAGCCTATCTAGGAGGACGTGACAACTTCAAAGACCATCCAAATGGTAATTGGCAGAGAAAAAGTAAGCGTCATCTTCCGGAAAGGTCAAAAGCTTCGTTCGATACTGGTGTATTTGAACGACTCACTACCTTCAAAGGGGACGACAAATGGCGCCTACAAAATTAATTGCAATGACTATGCACGCGTTTACATAGACCGCCTGCTGAAAATCTGAGCAGGAGGTTGGCAAAACGCGGTCACCGTTGGACGGGCTTGAACACAGGGCTCTACTTAGAGACTAGGCAGTGGCGGTGTAGGACATCAAATTGGATAATGCTAAGTTCTATAGGATGGTTTACAATCCACATCCTAATGGTTGACTGCTGTGGCGTTAGAAATTGCCAAAACTAACAGCAACGTAAACAGAATGGAGGAATGAATTTATCGGTTGTGCGACGGACTGTCATAACCCGGCTGGTCTGAGGGGCGTCGGCGAACGAATCTGGGATAGAGTGCGAACATCAAACAAATCCCACACCTTTCATTGACTGCGACTTACGTGTGATTATATCGTACAATAAACCAGTTGAATAGAAACTTTGATCTGAAACACGGTTATCATTCTGCCTGCATCTCCTATGTCGCAAATACTGTCCTCCTTTGTCATAAATGTCACACCGACGACCCACTGGTTCAATGCGGTTCAGGAAACTTTCTTGTAAAAAGCGAAACTTCGTCCTCCGACAACACCGACCGATTGTTTTAAAAGCCATCTGCGGTCACGAATTCTCAATCCGTCTAAACATATTTGAAGAGGTTGGACCCTTTTAATTCAGCATTGTTCAGTAGAATAAGTTTTGAAATACGAATGTATTTGCATTCACAATATTTCCTAGATAAACTTTACAGTACCCGAGTATTTTCGCTCAGAATCTATTACGCAAAACTGTTGCTCAAAAACAGAAGCGCTAAATATTCAAGTTCTGTGGGATAGTCAATAGGATGATTTGAAACAAAATATGCTACTTTGGATGTTTGTGAGTAGTGTAAATTTCGTAGAAAGTAGAAGTCACGATTAAAATTCACGCATAAAATGTGCCTCGACGGGGAATCGAACCCCGGTCCATGAATTTCCGGTCCGCTGCTCTACCACTGAGCTACCAAGGGCTATGCTATTTTTAACTAGTGACTGTATGAGGCTTAGCATCTCAATTGCTGCTGTTAGGAGTGCGCGAAATTTTTGCCGATGACTGATGCAAGAAGTACATTCTTGTCTGTCATTCATCCAAAATGAATAAAGGTTACGTTGTCTGGATCATATGAGTCCGTTTAATGAGCATTACTGTACTGGATTTTAGAGGCAAAAGCCACTGGCCCGGGATTCTGAAACATCCCAACCGGATCATGGTGGTACAATCCTTTGCAGGTTTCTCTGATGGATGATGTAGCTAGAAGGATTATGGCTTTGAAGTAGCCAGCTAACAAAAGTTCTCTTTGTTCCATGATAAAACCGATGCTTGAGTACGGCTCGCCCGTCTATTGTCCGATCACAATAGGTGAAGTGCAGCGAGTGAAATGTGTTCAGCGTGCAGCTACTGTGATGGTAGCTGGCCGATGCTCAGGAAAACCGATCAGCACCACGACCACAAAGCGACCACGTTTACCAAGTAGAGGAAAAGCGCGTAATTGGAGTGCAAATGATGAGTCAGATATGGTCTTTTTTCCTGGTCAAAGGCAGTCGGGTTGCTCACACAGGACGCAAGTTTGGAACTCAGTGCCTATCACGAGATGACGGCTGATAGGCCGAACGTGAGAAACGGGCAGAGGAGTCAGATGCAAAATCAATGAGCACACGCTCCGAATAAAGCGAACGGGGAGAAGTTTAAGGTGTGAACAAAGCGCGTCTTTATTCCAGCTAAGCGAGAAGTGGCCCAAACATCTGAGAACAAAGGATGGACGCCAGCCAGTAAACTCCGGCAAGTGGTCGGAAAGAAGCGACCATATAAAATGAGTCACAATGAATAGGAATGTATAGTATAAAGATACCTATGTGTTCTTTAATAACACATCACTACTAACTCTAGCCTCTTACAACCAATGTCAATGCCATCACTTAAAATTAGTGACGCAACTTGGTGCTAAATGTTACACAGCAGGGTAATAAAGTGCGCTATCTTTACTGCTGATGATTCCTTTTCCACGTTGGAACGTTTTTACTTTAATTTGCTTGTGCATTTTTATCATGTGGACCTTGTACATTTATGCTTTTGATCCCACCATACATTATCAAATTACTGAACTATTGGACTAGTGATTGCGGCCCAGACTGTCTTCTTGCTTCTCGGTAGCCTACACCACACCTACCCGGCTCATCCCCAGTTTAAGGGATATGTCCTAGGAGGACGGATGTAGGGGGACTAGGGTTGTGTACTCTGTCATATCGGTGACTTCGAGGTGATCTCATAATGACGCACCGGTTATTGCACCTATACCACTTCCTAATGTTAAGGGCGCTGCTGCACGTTTGTGCACCAAGGAGCAAACGCAGACACCGGTACAAACTGGTGGTAACATATTTGGAGTTTATCGCCCACTCTCTATGCTTCAAGCGTCGAATGGTGAAATATTGCAACCTGTTGCCGGAGACAAAACTCGCCACGAAATGGGTGTCGGAATTTAGAAGATTCCACGACAAACTTTGTGGATTCCAAGTATAGGGAGCGTACCACACCCGGATAAGATGCAGTGCAGTTGTAAGATGCTGCATCCGCAAAGAACCAACTACATGATTCTGCGCAGTTGCCCGACCTATCTACGATGGGGCAACACAGATTTATATCCTCGGTCACTAATTTCCGTATTCAGTTAGCACTAGCTGTTTAATCTCACAATGCAACTAGAACAAAATTTACCTTCCTTGTCGCAGTAAAGTTTTTAACCTGGCAACGGCATTAAAAAATAAACAAAACACTCCACGAAACTTGTTTCATGTTTTACTTGCATTGGGTCCTTTGATGTATCTTTAATGTCGCTGGCATATCGTTGGTATTCAATTTACTTTTTAGATTGGAAATAATGTTTATTTTAATACAGGATGCGACCGCAAAGGAAGGAATATTGAAACGCCAGAGTTTCCGTTTTATTGTGGTGTTGGGGGTGGTGATGCTTTGGCTAAATCTAGTCAGTGAGCGATAAAGGTATGCAAATGGTTTCCCCTGCCAAGATTGTTTGTGTGAAATACGTGACAAAAAGGAAGGGAACAGCACCGCGGACTATTGTAGAATAGGGAGTGCGCAACAGCTACCGACTGGAGGTTGTAGGAAGTTGACAGATATGCACAGCAAACAAATGACAAATCATTATAATCCTACCATAAAGGACAATGTCGACAATTCCAGTACAATGAAGATTGCTGTTTCCACACGCTGTTCATTTACGAATACCATTTATCAGTAAAAGGAGTCACGGTGTTTCTTCAGCAAGGCCAAACACAAACAACCAGGCC